AGAGAGAGATTTTATATAATTAAGCGGATTCCTCGCAATCAAATCTGATTCTAAGAACTGCACCACTTACAACTTTCAGCAGCACAAGATATCTAGATCATACCAAGAAAGCCACAAAGTAATTGAAGAAAATATTCAGAACAAAAACAGGAAGAGCCAGGGCCTTCGTAGAAAATGCACACCTGACCATGGGCCTTCCTAGAGATGGAACAGCAGAAGAGAACTCGAAACCTCACTTTTGTGTGTATATCCTGAGAGAGAGAGGAACCCCTAATCTAAAGACCAAAGCAAAGGGAAAAGGAGAAAATTTAAAACCGCGACACACCATATCACAATATATTTGGAATCTGAGAAGCGACCCTCAACTGCAACTCCTTTACCTTGGTAGCCAGCTCCATCTTCTGCTCCCTATAACTCTCCAACAAGAAATCTTTCCCATCAATCATCTCCCTCAATTCCCCAGACTCTCTCTTTAAAATTTCAACCTTCTCTCCCTCATCCCCCCACCCTAAATCCACCAAATCCTTCTCCTCCTCCTTCCCTCCAACAAACCCATTTTGAACCCCTCCTCCGCATTGGATTCTGGCAACATCGCCTGATTCTGGCCACACCATTCCAGCACTCCCACAACTGTCAGGTGATCCTCTATTTGCACAATGATCAGCTATAACTTTTCTAAGCTTTTGTATCTCTCTCTCCGCTCTAAAAAGCTCACGATTCGAAGATTCAAGTTGAAGTTGAATATGGGCTACTAAAGCTAAGCGTTCTTCAAGGGCCTTGTTTTGGTCAGAGATTTGAGCGTGCATTTCGAGTATCATATCATCTCGTCTCTTGAGTTGGAGCCTAAGCCTATGGATAACATCTCGTCTTCCAAAGGGGTCGGAGGAGCCAGACTCTGACACGCAAGGGGAACCAGAGCTGTTGGAGTGCTGGAAGGGGAGGCCAACTTCTCGATGGTTGGGGTCGATCGAGGCAGCAGTGGGATCATGGACTGTTACTAGGGGACCAAGGGATGGGTCCACATCTTTTAGGACAGAGGGCACAGAGGTTTGGGATGGGTTTTTTGTGTCGGTTGTGCCATTTGGATTACCTGAAAGGGTTGATGGATGTCAGACACGGATTCTCTCTCTCTGTCTCTCTCTCTCTCTCTATATATATATATATCAAACACACACACACACTGACACACAGTGACGTCCAAACATTTGTCTTTGCATATTACATTGAATGCTTTTGAGCAATTCCCTAGTCTAAAAGCTGCATCACTTCAACAAGCTTTTGGGAGAGGAAATATCGCTATTTAGGCTTAGACATGCTCCAACAACAAACTTTGCCATAGACCACCATCATTTCTTGGTAAGGATGCTGTACTTTAGGTAAATCAGATTGAAGGCTTTCTTAATCTCTCGAAAAGTTTCTTTAGACACACGAGAAATAAATCATCTCTACCTATCACAGCTCCAAAACCTGCCCTTTCCTAGATTAGTAAGAGATTCCCTTAATTAGATTGAAGCCACCAAGTGAAGTTGGTATTAATCCTGATCTAGCACAACCAAAATTACAGATTCTGCACTTCCTATTTCTTATATATAGAATATATCAGGTACTTGTAAACTCTCAATTACTGGAGAAAGATATCCTCAAAGAAATAAAAAACAGCAAGAAAAATTCAAGCAATCTTTCTCTGGTCCCTTCACTTATTATTTTTTTCGGAAAGTTTAACTACTTATAAATGAAGCTCTCTACTATCACAAATAAAAAAAAAAAGCAAGTAAACACAACTGACATAAAATCTAGAAGAGTCATATGAACAATCCAATAGCCAATTGCAACAATTTGGCATCCCTCATTTTTGTGAGATTTTGTACTTGTGTGTTTGTGTCTGTGCATGCACATGCTAATGATATTTTTCTTACTCATCAAACAAAAGCTGTCATAAACACAGAAAAAGTGAGAAGACAACATGGTGTAAAAATGAAAGTATAAGATTAGTAACCGACAAACCTGAGAGACAATGGCAGCAGCTGTCATCATCCTGTCTAAAAGAATATAAATTGGAATGCAAAGGGCAGACAACTGACCGCTTTTTGACAGCAGGCTTCCCATGTTCTCCTAAATGGCAACAACTTTTGAGTATCAAATTTTCAATGAGCTGCTCAAAAGGTGGTAAAAAACAGATAAATCAATATCCCATACCTTTGGACTTGTTACTTGTATCAGTTGTTTGCTTTGGTTCAAGGGCCAGCTTTAACTTGTGTCCAAGTTTAATTGATAGGCTGCCTAACAAAGCGCCACCAGCAATGAGAACCCAATTTGGCCCCATACATGGGCCATGCATTTGGTTCTGTGTTCTTGATATTCTACCATCAGGCTTAGTTCTCATTTTAGTTCCACTTTCCATACATTGAAGCACAATCTGCAGTGAAAGAATAAGAAATGATGAGGAACTATAAATGCATAATGCACAGCATTAAACCAAATACAAGCAAAGAAAGTTGATGAAAATAAATAACAATGTGCACAATGTCCATAAGATGCTGGTGCTTTCTGATAGCTCCCGCATATCTAGATCTCTTTCTTATTAAAGTTGACACCATCCATACTACCTTCTCACGGACAAACAACTGATAAGTGCTTTGCTAGAGATTCTTATGCCCCCTAAATGATCAAAAAGAGAGGAAGAAATGGGAAAAATATCGTGACGGTAGCTGGAATGCCTGCATAAATCGGTACTTGACGAATTCTGGGATGACCATTTTACCCCCACTTTATGTAAAATGCTGGACATGGCAAAAAAACAAAAAATAAAATGACCAAAGGTAAACTAGTCCTTTTTATGTTTAAAATTTCTCTACCATCTTCTCTCTCTCAATAAAAAAACACAAAAAAAAGGTCTATGAAGAAGAGAAATGGAAGGACGAGAGCGGATTTAATGACCAATGGAGCCCAACCTTTTGAAATTCAAGCAACAAATTTGTGACAAATCTCTTTCTTATTAAAGTTGACACCATCCTTACTACCTTCTCATGGACAAACAACTGATAAATGCTTTGCTAGAGATTCTTATGCCCCCTATATGATCAAAAAGAGAGGAAGAAACGGGAAAAATATCGTGACGTTAGCTGGAATGCCTGCATAAATCGGCACTTGACGAACTCTGGGATGACTATTTTGCCCCCACTTTATGTAAAATGCTGGACAAGGCAAAAAAACAAAAAAATAAAATGACCAAAGGTAAGGTAGTCCTTTTTATGTTTCAAATTTCTCTACCACCTTCTCTCTCTCTCTCTCTCTCAAACAAAAAAAAACAAAAAAAAAAGGTCTATGAAGAAGAGAAAATGGAAGGAAGAGAGAGGGATTTAATGACCAATGAAGCCCAACCTTTTGAAATTCAAGCAACAAATTTCTGATAAATAGCTAAATGACTGATGGCTACGTACTCTAATATATTCCTGTAACAAAATATTCTGCATCCTCTTTTTTTCAGAAAAAAATAAAAAATAAATAAATCTGCATGCTCCTAATGAAATAGATATAAATATTTGCGATTCTTGATTTTAATGATGGTAGTAACACTTGTTCTATGCTCCAGTCATAGGATAAAGGAACCTTGACTTCCATTATTAGTTTATTTTACAGTTGTTTTACTTATCTGCAGCAATATATTATGAAAGAGATGAAAACACAAAAGGAGAGATCGACTTGTATAGCATAAAAATCCCTAATATGAGCCCCAAAACACCCTATGCATCTCCCTGTGAGGCCAACGTAACTTAGATGTCCACGTTTCTCACAAAAGTCTCCACCCCCCTCCCGAGAAAAGAAAAAAAAAAAAATAAATCCTTGAACGATTTACTATGTGTTTATTTGGCCTGCAGTTTTCTTTCTCTTTGAACAGAAAAAAGCCCCACCGCCCATGATCTAAACTCTTCTTTTTTCGTCTTTTTTTTTTTAATAGCTACCCATGGTGTAATGCATCCTCACAAAGCATAAGGGCTCTCTTTTCACCACACCAATATCTTCTATTTCTACATTAGTCTCTTCTTAAAGTGCAATAACAATAAGGATTCAATCCAAAATCTCCTTCAAGAGAGATTTAGACACCTAAGATCATCACAATTGTAACATGGGATAATAGGTTATACATCACTAATCAGAGACACAAAGATAAAAGATTAAACACATACATCATAATGAGCCTATGTAAATGATCATTTTATTGATACGGAGCTGAATAGTTTTGAAATTGCAACAGGGTAAGATGCTAATGATGCAAAAATTATTTTACGTAAGAGTAAACCATCAAAGACTCAAAACCTTGAATTTGAATTCACTGATAGTGCAAATCTAGGATAATATATTTTCCAACTGATTGCCCAACTGAGTTAAAGGGATCGGACAATTAATAGCATACTAAGAAAGTAATAAATAGTAAGACTGCTTAAACTATAGAAATAGGAAGTAATAGAACGAATATCATAAGCTCACTTTTAAAAAAGAAGCTCTTTGAGTCCGACCACATTAAAATACATGAAGCTTCTTGCTTTTTGCCAAGAAGTCTAGACTACTTGAACTACTATTAAGAAGATGATACATTAGCGCCTAGCAAGAAAACCAAGCTACCTGCCAATAGGAACACTTGTCACATTTATGTAAAGGTCCACCATTACAAAGTCAAAAGCGTATCTAATTTGGCTAGTTCACAATCTAAAGCAGAAAACAGGAGCAGAATAAATACAGCCAGCAAGTTGGTCTTCATATAGATACTGGGCCATCATGTTCAAGATGCTGCACGAACTTGTACAGTTTTTGTTTGAGGTCACTCCAAACCAAGTCGTACAAATTTGGTACATTTGATTATACAAAAATTGATCACATAAATACAAAAAGTTATTAATTGAAAAGAAAAAGAAAACCATAGGCTAAGATGCTTAATGGTTTAAATTGGTGACATCTTCAAACTTTGCCTGGGGATTTTAGAAGGTTTTTCTCATATTTGACTCATAAATACAAAAAGTTATTAATTGAAAAGAAAAAGAAAACCATAGGCTAAGATGCTTAATGGTTTAAATTGGTGACATCTTCAAACTTTGCCTGGGGATTTTAGAAGGTTTTTCTCATATTTGACTCATATGATGTAAATCCAAAGAATTTGAAATCACATCTAGTAAGCAAAAGGCAACACATCACCCTTCTCTATGCGTAATAACATCGAATCACCGATGCAACACATGCACCTGAACAAGGAAGATCGTGTTTTTAATGGAATAAGATCTTGTTTTTCATGGACTTTCTCATGCACATGATGTGGATTGGAGGATGTAAAATATCCACATTAACATGGATTATCTTTTTTTTCATGAAATTTCTCATGCATATCTCCTTCAGACACACATGACTCATTTGTACACTATCAGTTTCCATGTCACATGCAGACTGCATTTGTACATTCACTAACTGCCAAAATATATCAGCTAGCCTTATTTTATTTTCTATAATCTCTACTTACTTTTTGTACCTCTCAATGCAGGAAATACCCACTTTGATCAGGAATTCTTTAGTAAGTGTTCAAACTAAATCTTCTTGGCTTTACTCATACACAACTGTTTTTGCATCTAATTCAGAAATCAGAAATTTCAATCAATTTGACCGAATGTCATTTTAGCAGGGCACCTTCACCAAATGAGGCCACGTAGATTATTAGGATAGAAACAAGTCTGTAGTACAACAGTTAACACTTTCAAACAAAAAAAATGAAAGTCTGTAGTACAAGTCAGAAGATGGAAGCGCCTATGTATATATTAATTCTACCCTCATCACGGGGCTTTCTTGTATAAAATCCACGTTCAAAAAAAATGAAAGTCTGTAGTACAAGTCAGAAGATGGAAGCGCCTATGTATATATTAATTCTACCCTCATCACGGGGCTTTCTTGTATAAAATCCACGTTTATCAGTTTATGGTTCCGTATTTCCATATTTCATATTATGCTAGGAGCTACCATGTCACTAAAGGAACAAATACGTGTGGGAATCAGCATGGCATTTGACCCCCATTATGTATTTCACTAAGCTGAAACAGAATTTAATCTGCCTGCCCTCAAAACTCACATTGATTGGCACATTTATGCAATGTGGACAGCTGAGCTCGAACTCAGAATGCAAGTAAAAACATATATATTTTGATCCTGATCACTAATCCATGTTCCGAGTCCAATAGGCTTTAACAAGGAAATTAGACTTTTCATGAAGTCATGGTTAATTAAATGCTACAAATTTAGGATATAATGGCCATTTTTATCAGGTAGGGCCTTGCCTGCTCCAATATATATGTGATTTGTGGCTGAGTACCCTATAAAATCAAAATCACGCGATAATGATCAACTATTGACGATTTTGAGGGTTACAATGGCCGCTATTTATTGGAATGATGGACAATATTTCACTTTCTTGAAATTTGAAAAAAGAGGGCATAAACTCATCATTTCTTGTACATATTAATGAACAAAATATGGAGCCACCATTTATGTTATAAAGTCCATTATAGTGAATATTTCTCAAATATTTCCGGTTAAATTCTGTATTTAAAAAATCAAATATTATTTCTTGTCCAATTTAAATGCATTATATCAGCCATATAGTGGGCCTCAGCCACCCAAAACTTACAAAGCAATACAAAAAATCACTAACACAAGAGAGAAGGTTCATAGAAATTAAAATCTAAACTAACAAATTAGAGAACATACGTCAAAATCAAAATATTCTAGTCATACTTTGGAGGGAATGCTTGCACATGTGACACTATTCTAATGGTTTGAACAAAATATTTGCTTGATTTTGGGAGGGCTATAATGAGAAGCAAATTTAGAACAACTCAATAACTTAAAAAACAAATTAGAATATGTAAATTGCAAAGGTTGCATTTTTAGTGCAAGTCATTTTTAGGTTTCTTCAAAAGTATAAAGCATCAATTAAAGAGAAAAGGAAGATGGCATAGACTACGAAGTATAACCCAAGCTAATCCACAAAAACATGCAATAAAAAAAATAAAATACATAAAATGCAATCCATTATACAAAAGACAATCCCCACATACATGTGCAAGGAAGGTATGCCCTCCTAAGAAGTTTACTAAGCACTTAAAATCAAAGCACACCAAATATCCAGTGCATGGTTGTACCAATATCTAAGTTAGATACCCATTGTAAAAGGAAAGTCAGACACTATGCTCAATTACGAGAACAATGCACCAAAAACGATCGGATAAAATAATTAGTCAAAGTTCCTAATACAAAGCTACTCAGAAATAAATCCACCAAAACAATGAAAGAACACATAAACAAAACAAGATGGCATTTCCTAGAATTGATTTAGAATATTTATGTAAAGGAAAAAATGGCAAGCCATAAAAGCTAGAGAAAAAAAATTACTGATGGCTTGAAAAATAAAAACAAAACTTCTTTACAAAATCAAATTTTAAAAAACTCATACAAAAAAATCACAAAAAAAATCCTCTTAAACAGGTTCTATAGAAGTTAACCCTAGAACATATCTCACTGTCCTCCAAAAACATATCCTAGAAACCTAGATGCACTAGTTCTAGTATAAAATGTTACCTGGAGTTCTAAAACACAATAACCCTAACAAAAATGCATATGGAAGCGTAGAAAAATAGGAAAAACTTCAGTAGATATATTTATGGTTGAGGAATGACAAAAAAATCAACTAAAATTAGAAAGCCATCAGGCATTTACAAAAAGACAATTAAAATGGCTGGTACTCATATAGTCCACAGGAGGAAAAACTGGCACGCGAGAAAAAAAAAAAAATCATGTTCCAAATAAAATTGAAACAAACAAAACAAATAGCATGTAGTGATGTAACCAGTTTAACTTTCAATACCCATGTAAACAACAATTCGAGCGTGTTAGAAATGATCAACAAAAGAAAAAGATCAGAAAACATACATAACTCCTTACAAACCTCTATAAAAGGGAGGAACTAAGAAAACCACAAAGCACTTCGACAATCACAAAAAAAAATGCAATAATCGCAAATAAATCCGAATATGTATAAGAATTTGCTTATGAAACCCACAACAATTCCTAAAAATAATCACAAATCATAACAGAGGAACAGTCAATATTCAAACACAGCCCAACAAAAAAAAGAAGAAGAGGAAATTCAGAAAAATATGTGGGAAAGAATGTCTCACCTCATGAATCCATCTGCAACATGTGAAAATTTTCTCGCATGGATTAAAGGGAGAAAAGCTGGTCAATAACAAAGGAAGAGAGGGAGAAAAGTGTAATCCAAGCAGCTGATATTAGTTGCTGCGTTGTCTAGTGAGTGTAATGAGAAATGAATGTATTTTCATGTAGTTATATTTATGGAGTTTTAGGGTGCGGGGCTTTCGAAACGACCGCCACGTTGTCAGCCTGGGCGTTGGGAGTTTATGCCCTAGAATTTGGATCTCTCGGTTCTCTCCATAGAAAATAATGATTTTCTCTCTCTAAAAATAATTGATTTTGTTGCAGTATGAAAAAATAATGATTTTCTTGCTTTAGAAATAATGATTTTTGTTGCAGTATGGAAAAAAAAGGATGAGGTTTTTATAAGCCTAAGCTTTATGAAAACAAAATAAAGCCTCACCTCAATCTTCATCCATAGAGCATTTTTGGTATTGGAAATATCCGTGATGACGATAAAATTAATTTTCAACATTAGCGAAAAAATTTGAAACTCGTTAAAGATAAAATTTTCAACATTGATGATAAAATTAATTTTCGACATTGATGATAATATTTGAAACTCAATTTCAACATTGATGATAAAATTAATTTTAAGCATTACGGATTTACAAAGATTTGTTTTCGTTTTAGAATGAAATGGATGGTTTAGATAGTTTGTTATAATATACATTATTTTTAAAATTTAAAATTCTACTTTATTTGCACAATCATAACTTTCAACGGTGATCGATTTAAAGGTTTTTCAACCTTTAAATTGCAATTTTTGATGAGTTCGAGGTGAGGGTTTAAATTGTAATTTTTATGAGTTGCGAGGTGAGGGTTTACTTATTTTGATAGGGCTGCCGCCCTATCAAACAATTTTCAATGAAAAAATAATAATATAACGGAATAACAAAGGTATGAACCAAATGTGCCCTAAAACTATCTACAAAAGACATCATGCCTACGGCAGAACCCTTGGTGTCCCGTGCGCGCACGCTTTTTACTTAAAAGGCTGTCTCCCTCTTCTTCTTCTCCTTCTTTTCTTTCTTTCTTTTTCTTTTTTTATTTTTTTTCTGTAATTTTATAATTGTAATGGAGCTCATGCGTCCTTAAATAGATTAATCTATCTAATAGATTAAATAGATTAAGAAAATTATATCTCTTTTATTTGATAATTTAAAAAAAAGGAAAAAGTCCATAAAGAGACGAGGCTTTAAGCAATCAAATTAGGGCCTACCTCAAAAATTTTATTAGAAGAGGTTGTTTTGATGCCCAAATATCCTCAAATAGATCATCTTGGCAAGATGCATGGACATGAAAAGAAAATGAATTTCAAATTTTGTATAGATAAGCTCTAAACAATCAAATTGGAGCCTACCTTCAAATAGTATCGAGAAATGTGGTTTCAATACTGAAAATCATTGTGATAGCATTAAAATATATTTTCATATTTATTTATAAAGTTCAATGCTTCAAAAATAGTGTAGATTGACAGTTCTATGAAAATCTTGAAAATTGATAGTCCAAAAAATACATTACAAAATATGCTATTTTCATAACTTGAAATCCATTTTTTTCTCATGTCCATGCATCTTGATGTTGAGATGATCTATTTATGGATATTTAGGCATCAAAACAACCTCTTCTAATGAAATTATTTGAGATAAGCTTTAATTTAATTGTTTAGAGCCTCGGCTCTATATAAACTTTTTCCTTAATAAAAAAAAAAAAAGGACTCTCTCTCTCTGACTTTAACAGACGTCAGGTTATTTACAATTTACAAGTTGATCTCCGAGGCTTATTGCCAGTTGCATCTCTCTGTAAACCCCCTACAGGTATTCCCGTAGTTAAAAATCTCTCTCTCTCTCTAAATCAAAAATTAACTTTTTTTTTTGTAGTTAAAAATCTCTCTCTAAATCAAAAATAACTTTTTTGTTGATAGTTCAGTGGTAGGAATCAAACTTGAGATATACCAGATGTCAACCTCCAACTTATTCCTATATAAGTCTTTTTTTGCAATTCATTATCTCGTGCATGCACTTTTTAATGGCATTTATTTTGCAAGTCATTATCTCATGGATGCACTTTTTAAAGGCATTTAAGTACATGTAAGTTTTTTATGTTTTTCCTACAGCATAAAACTTATATATTTCCTCTTATCCAACCGTCCATTCGGAATTGAAGGTTAATATTGCCCCAATCATAATGTCATGTCTCTACACTATTTTATTTTTTATTTTTTATTTTTTTCTATAAACTATTTTGACACAAAATTTTGTAAGTCCAATCCTCTATTAAACTTGTACTAGAAAAATATATCTTAAAGCTTCAATAGGTATTTTGGTCATTACATTTTATCAAAAAATCATTTTTAATATTTTTATAAGTGCGTCCCAATGAGAATATGACACATTAAATTTCATATTCATACAATTTGCATAAAAAAAAACTAAAAATAAAATACTTTGAGACATCAGATCTAAAATCAAACGATCTCTTGATCAAAATTGAACAGCTTGATGGTAGGGGGGAAGCATTGATATTATGTGCCGTAGAGAAGTATAAAAACCTTTTCCTTTAAGTACATCTCACTCTCTCTCTGAGTCGCACAGTACGGTTTGAAAATAAAAAATTCATGCACATCCCTGCCTCTCGTTGAGACGAGTATGTTCCAAAGAAGATAAAAATGCATTAGGCGTTCTCCCTTAGTTCCTTGAAAGGAAAGGTGTGCTTTGTTTTGTATAGACTCGATACGCACTTTCCACATGCGGCGAGCCTTAGCCTGCCCACGTTCTCTTTCCTAAAAAGAAAGAAAAAAAAGAGGATGTTTGCGCAAAGGAGTTCAAGCCTTCTTTCACCCAAAAAGAGGACATGGGTTCGATCCTGGGAAGACCGGTTGAGAAATTTATCAAAATGTACCTAAGATATGAATTATTTAAAATTTACTTAATTTTTATTTAATTTGAAAAAACTAACAAAATATACATGACATTGAAATCTTCTCTTTCAGTCTCTCCATCTCTCCAAGTGCAAGTAGCTATGTAATACTCTAATACCATGCGCAATAATAGCCATAGGTTTTTTTTCCTTCCAAATGAAGAGAAATTAAGGGATCACAAAGAATGTTTGATGTGTGTGGCAGATCTCAACCTTGTATTGCAATGATTCGTTAAAAAGAAAAAATTTCAAAAAAAAATAAAAATAATGTTTGATGTGAAAATGCCCATGTGAATCTCACAAGCAGTTCTTGCTTGTTATTTAAATTTCTATGTAGCTCATGATTCTTAATTTGCATTAACTATTAATTAGTGTAACCTTCAATTAGTTGAAAAAAAGCTCTGACTATGATGACGACAACTGGATATCAACATTTTTTTCGAATGCTTACTAGATATCACCATTGAGATCGTGGAACTTTACTTTGCCCTGAAAGAAAGGAAGGATGGACTGATTTGTAAAGACCATCACAATCCCCATCTCTTAACCACGACCTATTTGTAAAGACCATCACATGTGAATACTAATATAATCCTTTTTTGAGAGTCAATTATTTTATTATTATTTGCAAGCTTGTTTCAACAGAGATAAATATGGGATTGTATACAATGACAAATATAGGATTGTATATAATGAGACCATTTACCTTTGATATAAGGATGTCACAATTACTTATAACCATCCGATATAAAATCTATAACTTGGGTGTAAAGTTCAAGAAAATTTCTTTTGAACTTTGAGCTTGGTCAATGAAATAAATGCAGCCACCCAATTTCATATCCAATGGTCAAGATTAATTGTGATCAACTTGTATCAAAGATAAATGATTTTATTATATACATTCCCGATAAATATTACTCCAGTTGCTTTGAGAAAAGAGTACCAAAATGCCAATGCTTTAAGAGTACGCCCCTATGAGCACCAAAAGAATCATATAACGGAAAGTATACCATACACCACTGGCCTATGGGTTGGATACACAACATGGAATCTACCATCTATTTGTGATGATGAATGGTGGAGATTAATCATAGTTCCAAAGGCAGATATTCGTCATGTGCAGTTGAACTCCACCGACCTGATTGTCATGGGAAATCAAAGTTGTGTCATACATACACCATACACCACTGGAGCATAGTAGACTCTGCCATCTGCCTCTTGCGGTTCAGGTTTGATAGGCTCACACATTGAGAAGTGGAGAGCCCAAAACTCCGACCAAGTGAAAGGAATGTGACTGGTGAATAGTTATTCATCGAATTAGAAAAAGCGAATTATCTCCCAAAGGCCCATCTTTCAACTAAATTGACTATCTATTCCCTCTTTTATTCTTCTTTTTCTTTTTCTTTTTCTTTTTCTTTTTCTTTTTCTTTTCTCTTTTTCATTCCTCTCCCTCTCTCTCTCTTTTGTTCCATACAAACACCTATAACATCTGCATGTGCCACCAAGGGCTTTCCTGCTTGGAATATTAGCAGTTTAGTGGTTGGAGCTCAAAAAGAAAGAAAGGGCAGGAAGGCTATTAACTTGATCCGTATTATATGTATATCTTTCTCATTGAGAGAGAAGAAAATAGGTGGGTCTAGTTGTCTCATGACTGGTGAGGAAATATCAGACCTGAGCTTTATCACATTTATCTCATTTAATGACAGTGTCCACTTATAGTCTAGATCCCCGTACATAAGATTTATTTAGGAGTTTCATCCTTAGATGTTCTCCTCCGCATAAATACATTACAGAGAGAGAGAGAGAGAGAGAGAGAGAGAGAGAGTGAATAGAAATAATGAGTACAATTCTGCATTTGGAAATATGTAAGCATTACATGATTAGTATTGAGACTAAAAAGAACATATCTATACAGTTATGTTACAGCTAAAGAAGAGCAAGTTACCTCATGGCATCACGTACAAGATAAATTAACAATCTAGAATCCATATTCCAGAGGGGCCAAGGATCCTGGCACAAAAAAGTCATAATAAATTGAAGTACACTATTTGAAGTTGCGTCTTCTTTCAAGAATATACAATGGTACGAATTCATTTGACAAGTAAATTAATAGTGGAATCCATACATTGAACACACACCATCTGAATAGATGGCCATGACTGAGGTTGTTTGTGAAAAGCTGAAACATACTCCCTCCATAATCTCCACTTCTAAATATTGTAAAAAAGGAACTAAAGAAAAACCATACGAATAAGAACTCTGAAAGAAAAACAATTTGAATAACTGAGAGATGGCTGGTCTCGATATACTAAATGCAAAGGCAATAATACAATGAAAAAAATAACAAACCAAAAATTTATCTGAAGAGTCAAGATAAGAGTAAAAAACGTACAAAAGCGTGTGCATGCACACACAAAGATTCTCTACCAATGAAGAGATTCTAGGTTTTCTCTTCAGCGATCATGAGCTCAGTCTCCATATGCTAGAAGTAATTGTTAACGTGAAGATACGACCCACTACATTCCAGCATGAAGAAGTGTCTCAATCACCAGAAATCATAAATGCTGTAACCATGATTTTTTAAGCAAACTCTATGTTTCTAAAGGAAAACGTTTTGATAGGGCTGCAGCCCTATCAAAATAAGTAAAGCCTCACTTCAAAACTCACCAAAAATTGTAGGTCCGTTCTCGGAAAACCTTCAACTTAATCATCTTGGCCTTGACCATTATGATTGTGAAAAAAAATTAGGACTTCATGTCCTAAAAAGTGTATATTGTAATACATTATCTAGAGCATCCATTTCGCCCCAAAAATAAGCGTTCACGGATCCGCAAGATCTGTACTATTTTTTGAGCTTCAAATTTCATAGTCATTGTTGGAAGTTGATTTTAGAGCCATCACGGAGATTTCCGATGCCAAAAGTGCTTTCAGGACTATGGTTCAAGGTGAGGCTTTACTTTGTTTTCATAAAGCCTAGGCCTTACAGAAATTGTATCCTTTTAATAAATATACAATTTAGAGGATTCATTTTCCAAGAGTAACAAGTTTTTCAATATTTCGTAAATTTTTGGTGGCATTTGACTCATCATATAAGATAAATGTTAAGTTTTTTTTAACAGATGGGGACACTTGAGTCACTCCTAGAAAAAACAGCATAATCTTAGTTTCCCTCTAACCAATACAATCTGGTGACATTGTACCTCATTTAAGTAACACAATATGATATGATATTGATGCTCGGACTCAGCTAACTGGAATGCTGAAATGAAGAGTTATAAATAGAAAAGTCACTATTGTGAGAAAATTGTGAAGTTGTAATGATATTATATCAGGCGCTGAAGTTGTAATGATGTTTAAGATGGAAACATAAATTATGCATAAAATTCATACACTACGTATGGCATTCAATATGCTATTGCATTTTACACCTTTGAATAAATAATTTGTGTTCAATAGTTTACCAAATTTTCTCACTAATCAAGCTGATGGAAGAATTTCCAGAGCAACTTCCTTAAGTGATGGCATCACTTCCTGTTGATGCACACATATGTGCTTATTATCCACTTTTCTCAGCACCATCCAAGGGCCTGGATAACACCTATATAGCAGTCCAATCGTCATTTCCAAAAGTGCAATTTGAAAGGGGAAATATGTAAGCAGCTCTGGTTTATAATGTGTGGGTGCATGTGATGTGAGAGAGGGAGGGAGAGAAGCAACTGTTTCATTACAAACAAATGTACTCGGGGCACTACAAAGATGGCAAGAATATGAAAGAAGATGAATCCATGTTCATATTATCAACAGAACTAGTTGTGAACTCTCATTCTCTCTCTCTCTCTCTCTTCCCTTGTGTGTACACGTGTAGATGACTGTTGTGGTGTGTATGTTGCAGAATGAAAGGTTGCTGGAAGTGGAAATTCACAGGGGAGCGAGAGAGAGAGAGAGAGAGAGAGGCAACATCCATGCCACTATTGCCTCACCTGCCATCAATCTACTGTGTGGTAGGGGTTGATGAGAATGTGATGGAGAAACATGGCGAGATTTGATATTTATAGAAAACGGTATATTTTCCATTTCTTAAACATTTAGGATGATTTTATCATTTTTTGTAGGCATTGCTACTTGAGTAAACCTTTTGAAGTGCAAGTCACATAATTATTTCCAAATAAAATTCCCTTCATATTAAAACATGAGTATTGCCATCATTTAAACAATGGAACATAAAACAAGAAACTTAACAAACTTACCTAAACAGCATGCCACCATTGCGACCTTTAAAATTGTGGATGTAATAGACAGTCTCAAGCTTGGGCAAGAAGGTCTTCGAAAGCTTTGCAAGCTTCGGATAGAAGAAAGGTGGATAATCTTCACCAAATCAAGGAATGGCTAAAGCTCAATAATCAAACTATAAAGATGACCTTGAGTGAATAACTTAGATCCGGAAGCTGGCAAATGAAAATCTATGGTGTGAATTAAGATATAATGGAAAGACCATAACAGTGTACCATTGTGGTTTACAAGCATGAAAAGTATCTTTTGTAAAATCCTTGCAACCTATCTTAAGCCAATGAAGACTGACATGGAAATGCAATATATAAAAGGGATACATCCACTTCTTATCCGATCAAGTTCTCCATTAAATATAATCAATTTTCTGTCTGTGTTCACAACAGCTTCATTGTACAGTTCTTCCACCACAAGCATCTCTGATCAAGGGTTAAACTCAGGTCAATACCACACTAAAAAGGGTTGGATATCAGTCGAGGGATGAGACTTGTCAAAAAGTGAAAACAAGTAAGGAAAAAGTCAATTCATGAATTGAGAAATCAGGAAAGTACCATTGACATTAAAATAAGGATAGGCAACCAAGAATATTTCATCTTCAGGCTTTACACGGTCATCCATTTTGACCTTTGTACTAAAACCAAAATCTTCAAATAATGATGGTTTCGTTAAGTAGTCCAACTTGAAAGATGCTCCTTCAAAGGCTGATTTTCTTGCAAATGTGACTTCATTCGCTTCAGGGAAGAACTGTCAATATAACAGTCAATGTAAATAAGTAGCTGGTAAAGTAATTGAACAAAAACATCACTGCTATAAAAATTTGTGCGAAATAGAAAATCACAAGAAAATGAAATGAAACAAAAAGGAAAATATAAAGGAAATCTAAAATACATGCAGCAGATACCACTTAAGATGTTTATCCTACATTCTATTACAAATGACAAAATTCTATCCCCCTAAATAACCCTTTCCACGTAGCATGTTGGGTACTTTGGATTATTTTTCTTCTTTCTGAAATAGGTAAATGAAGAGAGCCTTATTACATGCAAAATGGCAAAAGCCTTCATACATGCAAAATAAAAGAGTCTTCGTATAAGCAAAAGAAGAAATATTACCTAAATGTCCCTGAATGTTTTGTAACAAAGATGTTTGACAGCCATATTTTTCAAAGGCATATGATAACCATCCTATACTTGTTATGCATAAGTTATCATCCCTCTTCTTTCTCAATCTTAGCATGGTATCAAAGCAGAGCGTGAAACCCTAGGATATCCAAGATTTATGGTGAGCCTGGAATCATGATTTTTCTTCCTTTTTGGGCTTGAAAATGGTGTATAGGAAAATCATCTTGCTTTTCTTTTACCAACAAGTAACTTTTATCCTAAACTCTTTTCATTTCCAGCAAAAACCCCAGCCTCGTATCGTTTTTTGCCTTACCTCACACAAAAATCGCACCAATATATTCCATATCCTTCGTACGCAATTCCGGAAATTATATTCAACACCTTTCCCACCCAAACAAACAAAAAAAGGGGATCTTTGCAGGCTTTGAAACTAATGAAATAGAATCTTGAGGAAAGGCTTAGGGTTTCGAGTTAGAGAGAGAAAAACAATGTCATAAATCAAGTAGAACATTTCCTTGGGAAGCAGTCAACCTGACCACCCAGGATTGATGATCTTTACAGTTAAGCTAGATGGGACAAACTACTTAGAATAGTCCCAATCTTCCAAGATGTCCATAGGAAAATTGGGTATATCACAAGAAAGGTGAAAGATCCTCCTAAAGATGATCCATCCCATGATGAATGGGAAAGTGAGAATTTGACAGTAATGGCATGGCTTCTTCATTAAATGCAGCCACTTATTAGTAGGGGATTGTTGTTCTTAGAACTGCAGAAGATATATTGGAGGCAATAGCAAAGACATACTCGCAACGAGATGATATGGCTAGAATTTACCAATTGTATTGCAAGATATCAAGTTTGCAACAAGGGGAAATGACTATGGAAGAATACTTTGGGATGCTAAGGCGTACATGGGAAGAACTAGATCACTATCAGCCTATTAATCTCACTGTTTATGACATTAAGCAGTAGGCAGAGCAACGACAAATCTTTGAGTTCTTAGCAGTCCTTCATCCTGACTTTGAACTTTAGAGAGTACAAGCTCTAGGAAAGGAAAAATTGCCCTCTCTTGAAACAATACATAATTATGTAAAAGGGGGACCAATAGAAAGGCTATTGCAGAGGGACAAAGCTCAAGTATCCACCTTGAATGATCAGCCTTTGCAACAAGTTTTCAAGCAAGGAAAAGTGGGTATGAAAGGACAAAATCATGCCCAACTTTCTCTCACTGAAATGGAGAAACTCAGATACTCCCGATGTGGGAAGAGGAGACACACCCAATAGCACTATTGGGACTCACATCCAAACTCGAGACTGAAGTCAAGGAATGCAAATCATTTTCTTAAGTGAGGGGAGGAAACTTTAGCCACACAAGCCAATGTATTCTACCCAAGAGGTCAGGCCATCAAAGATTTACAGCATCAGTTGACTGCTCTTACGGGATTGCTCAGCTCTAAAACACCGGTAGAGTATGCATCTGCAAACCATGCCTCCAAAATTGGTACATATTGGGTCTCCAAAGGTGCATGGATTCTTGCTCAATGTGCATCATTACCACATGGAGATTTTCGTATTGGGCATGAGGCCCATAATAGTTATTGCAGGTTTCCTTAATAGGTGTCATGCCCAAAATAGTCACTATACTCTCCCCCTCAAGCTGGAGCATAAATATCATAGATTCCCAGCTTCCTCAAAGTATCTTTTAGTCAAACTTAATTAGAAGCCTTGATAAGACTCTCTGCCAACTGATTCTCAGAACGAACAAATGGAGTACATATTGTCTTTGAAACAACCTTTTCTATGATCAAGTGACAGTCGACCTCACTATGCTCGGTTCTTTCATGAAATATAGGGCTTGAGGCAATATAAATTGCGGCTTGATTACTACAATGTAAAGGAATAAGAGCTAATACATTAACACCTATATCTTGAAGAAGAGAATAAAGCCAAATTATTTTACATGTAGCAGTTTCCATTGCTCGATACTCGGCTTATGTTTATGATCGAATTACAACACTCTGCTTCTCACTCTTCTAGGTGTCTAGATTACCACCCACTGTCATAAAGTAGCCACTAGTAGATCATCGATCAAGAGAACACCCGGCCCAATCTCCATCACAGAAACCTTATATATCTAGGTGAACATGACTGGTATAAAGTAGCCCTATCCATAGAGCAGATTTTAAATATCATAATACACTATAATCAACCTCCAAGTGTGGGGGCATGGTACGTGCATAAACGGACTCACCACGATTATAGCATGCAATGCCTAGTCGTGTGACAGTCAAATAAATAACTCTACCCATGAATATTTGATGTACACCATGGTTACTCAGAGACTCTTATTGCATACAGTTTGTTATTAACCTCTATGGAAGATTATGCTAGTTTGGCTCCCAGCCTTTCGGCATCATTGAGGAGATCACGAGTATAGACAAAAATAATCCATGTTTAGACCTTGCCACATCTACTCCAAAGAAGTGACTAAGAGTCTCGATGTCAAGAAACTCCCCAAGACATAGTTGCTGGAACTGTGTAGAAAACGTCACGGACCTGCTCTGAAACCTTGATCCCACTATTCCAACTAGGGATTTTGGATGGAACGCAGATCCCTATATTGTGATCCTCATTTCTAGTGGGTTTGAACCACATTCTCAAGTGCATGATGTAGTCAATATGATGTTTCCTCTATTCGACAATGATTCATGTGCACTGATTCAAGTTTGTGCCCAATGGTACTATGAACCCACGCATCATTCGTGGTCCTTTATAAATTACCATTGCGATTCCTTCCTCATGGAATTGCGCTTCCCTGTGACAAGGATCCCGCTCCCTTGATATAGGATTGTATGGATGACGATCCTAACCACAACGGGCTTCCAACAATCCATGGTTTTGCAGATCCAAGCCAGCTCCCACTCCCGGGAACCCACACTCGACAACTATTCCCAAAGAAATCTTTCATTTTTTGAGTTTTGTGATTATTATTTCCTATGAGCGCAATATTATCCACGTACACTATCAATATTGTGGTAGAAAAAAGAATCTCTTTTAACAAATATAGAATGATAAAAAACACTTCTCTGAAATCTGAACTGGCATATTGCCATAGGAAATTTTTTGATCCGAAACCAAGGTCACTGTTTCAGTCCATACATAGCTTTCCTTAACTTGCAAACCTTCCCTTTCTTCCCCTGAGGATAAAACCGATATGTTAATGCCATATACACTTCCTCTTGTCGATCTCCATGGATAAAGGCATTCTTCACGTCTAATTGGTAGAGTGGCCATTTTTTGTTTACCGCAACAAATAAAAGTGCCTGTACTGATTTCAATTTTGCTATAGGAGCAAAAATCTCCTTATAGTCAATTGTCAACCACATATAACATTCTAAATCCCTTAACTACCATACAAGCTTTGTATTTCACAATTGAACCATTTGGTTTGTGCTTCAAGGTGTACAGCCACCTGCATCCTACCACATGCTATCCTTTGGCCGAGCAATTACATCTCAAGTTCATTGTTTCTTTAAGGTAATCATTTTCTCAATCATGGCTGCTTTCCATTGTGGATGAACCAATGCATCTGCAACTTTGGTGGAAATACGAACAGAGAAAATAAAGCAAAGATATGCATGAAACTGAAGCACAAGAAACAAACTTATGGATTGGATGAGTACACGTCCTTTTTTCTCTTCTTACGATAATAGGTACAGTAATAGATAAATCGAGTTGAGAAGGTATAGGGGTAGAAAGACAAGAAGTAGCTGACGAGTAAACATGGTGGGATTGATCGTTTACATCAGACTTTCCCTTGTTCCTTTTTTGTGTGTATACGTTCAACTATTTCTTAGTAGATTCCACCGGTTTCTTGGTTGGATTACTGGAACTATTTGTGATCATTAGAAGAGTGAATAGAATTGTTAGGTGGCACAGTGGATATCGAATCACTTTGAGAAGGAAAATAAGACATATTCTCAAATAAGGTAACATCTTTTGAGACATGTTCCATTTAATTACTAGACAATAGCATTTCTATCCTTTCTGAGTTCGAGTATCCTAATAACACGCATGCAGTAGATTAAGGTCCTAATTTATTCCTAGTTTGTCCAAGAGTATGCACAAAATAGACACAACCAAAGGTTTTTGCAGGAAGAGAAAACAAAGGAAGTACATGGTGGAGAAGTTTGCAAGGGTCAGAACCATCGAGAACAGATGTAGGCATCCTATTCATCATATAGGCAACAGTAAGAACTGCTTCATCCCAATATCTCTTAAGAACCTTGATTCTTATTAAGATGGCTCTTATAGCTTCTAACAAGCATCTATTTTTCCATTATGCCACACCATTTGGTTGTGGTGTATGGGAATATGATGTTTAAGTTTCAATACCATGAAAGAAGCGGCCACGTGGAATTCCAGAGACTAAAATAATAAAATTTCCATGTTTCTTCTATTAATATATCTGAATTCCACTTACAAGTGCCACAAAACAATGTTGTAAATAAGAAACAAACGGAATACAACCTAAGATCTTTCTTTTTACTGCCAAATAAATATGACTCAATCTCGAGGCTGAACACAAGCTTTTACTATGAATTCTAAACCATATAATATTCCTGGAAATTGAAACAAATTGAGCAAAACTAACTAAAAACAGTAGGAAAGACTTTATTGATTTTGCCTAGGGTCCCCCTTAGGACTTGGCACACCACAAACCCGATTACTTGACCGATGCCACACACTCTGACCTTATTAGCCCTGCTGAATTCTCTGAGTTGGGAAGCTCCTTAGGCAATACTTTTTCAGATCTAGGGCTTGAGAGCATATAAAAGAATAGGGCTTCTCTAGACCCTTTTTGGACCTTTCTGGGGTATGCTACAAGTGGCACCTCTCTTGGTCTATTACGGTTGGGCGTGCCCCTCTATATTATTTGTGGGCCACTTGCCACCCAAGTTTCCTATGGAGGTGCATGCCACCCCTTAGAGACTAGAGAGGAAAGAGAGAGACAGGGAGAGAATGGCACGGAGGAGAGAGAGGCTAGAAATGCATATGGTAGAATGAGGGGGGCGGTACCCTTTATTTATAGCCTTCAACAAGGTCTAGGTATGCCTATTTGATTTAGAATTCATCTTAGCCATATGAATCCTAGGTAATCAATGAGGTGAGAAAGAAACAAATCTGAGTCATCCATCACATGAATCAGCAATCATAATTTAGGGAGGAATTTAAGATTTGCTTCTTCCCCGGAGAAAGACGATCAAACAATTCCAAATCATGGTCCTTGTGGATCGGATCATTCGTATCCGCATAGGATACAAAACGAAACTCCAGATATTTGATATCTTTCGCTTTGAATGAGATCTCAATTCCAACTATTGTTTCATTAGATATCTTACAACTTGAATCCCTCTTTTTTCCGATCCGGTTCCTCCACCACCGCGAACCCCAGTTAGATTCAGCCATGATACACTGTTTAGTTATTGGGAGAAGCCAAGTACTCTCTTTCGGATCCATGAAACAACTCTCAGAGATCTTTTCCTTTTTGGAAGATACAAGAGCGAAACAATCAACCTATTGATATTGGAAGACAAAAACCTTATCCCTTGAACCTTTGATCCATATCCACTTCAACATGGGATAAGACCAATCAAAATACATCTTCTATTTTGACTAGGACTTCCTTTTCTCTCTCAAAAGATTGTAGGAATTCAGAGTCAAAAAGATTTGGTCAAAACCAAAGATTGAAACAATGTTTTCCAAACACAAAATATTCTCTACTCCCACAAAATACGGTCACTAAATCTTTTTCAAAGACCTCACAAGATTTTCTTCCAAAAAATAAACTTGTTTTATTTTAATAGAAAATCAAGAAGAGAGGAAGGGGGGCATCCTGCCACTTATGTGATGTGTGTGCCCTATGGGCCCCTTTCCTACGCATGTGGGGGTGGTGCATGTATGGGGTTGGATCCGAAAAGCCCCCCACATTTTCTCTTACCCTTCCATGATTCCCAGAAACGCCTTGTAAGGGGTTTTCACTGCTGAATATAATTTAAAAAATTCTAAAAACATTTCTAAGCTAAAAGAAAATTTGTAAAAGCTGGTATCAATGGGTCAAAAAAAGTGACTATTAATGCATTCCAACCAACCTAATAATCGCAATCCTCGACTATCTTCTCAAACCAATTCTACGAGACCCATGACCCACAATCTCATGCATGGGCGTATGATTGGCTTGTCAAAGCTAGCCAATAAATAGTGAAAGCATGGTCACAAAATGTGGACTACAGGTCCCCCACGCTTGCCCCCAAAGAGCAAGTCACATGCATATATCACTATAGGTATAAGGGGAACTTTCTTTGTGCACATGTACAGAGATCCCCATGCAGGGTTGCTTCGTGGCATATGCGAATGCATATGCGAAAGGGAAGGCATAATTGAAGATGTAAAAAAATTTAATAGCTTCCACAAAGTACAAACTTACATTTACACAAAAAAAAAACCTTGTTTAAGATGTACCTCTTGAAAAGGAAGTGAGATTTTTTTCTTTTTCTTTTTCTTTTTTTAAGTAAGGAAAATTTTAAATAATATTCAGCAATGAAGACAATTGATATTCACAATAGAAATACAAGCTGGAAATTCACTGATTTGGCAGCTCTAGGCACTTAGATATAGAGCCATGTAGCTGTCATTTGCAAACAAGTAGAAACTAAATACATGTCATCTTTCTTTTAATAGGTAAATGTAAATATTTGGAGGCTAAGTCACATGCCAGTTTTCATTAAGTATATGTCAGTAAATCTAAACAATGCTCTGGATATTTTCATGAAAGGATTAGCATAGCATTGATATTACTACACCTCAATGTTCAATGGTTTGAACCACCTATTTAATATGTTTCTGTCGAACAACCAGATCACTTCGTGGATGCCATAATCCATTTTAAATAAGATGTGCTTGGAAGCATCATTGTGAAGCCTATCCTAATCCTAACCCAGTTATCCTTCCTTACGATGACAATATATTGATAAGATTGAAATCCTTAAAAAAACTGTCCAACATATTTGTCTTCGAGTGTCTGGCACCAAAAGTCAAGATGATGGACATGTGTCATTCAGCTAATTTTGGAGTCCCTTGTTTTGTTCAAGGTTAACATAATGATTAACTGCTAATGTTGTTCAACCATCAGTTGGGGGAGTGGGGGGAGGGCATTGTGGTCATGTTAGACGAATATCAAGGCCAATATGGAGGAAAAACTAAGGCTACCAACCAACATGGTACATGAGCAAAAGAAATTGACGATGACACGGTTTTAATGGTAATTAGGGAATGACTGTCATGCGTTAGAAGTCATTTAGCTAAAGCAAGTGAGGACATGTTTTCATTGTAAAAACATACACACACACACAGATTTTTCAACCATGAGCATTTGATAGTCTAAGACTAAATTTCAAAAAATGATATAGTTGATATGCTTAAAGATTAATTGGTCAGATAAGATAAAAATCAACCAAAACATAGGGAAAGTTCTATACAACTGCTTTGTCTGCAAATCAAAGTACAAGAATAGTTGTTAGTTGTAGGGAACAGCAAAAGAGCCACCTCCTACTCAACATGTGTATTCCTTGCATCTTTTGAGTCGAATCTCTTCTTGCTAGAATGTTTTTGGATAGTTCTATGGTATATCATGTCACTCAAATATATATGAACTAACATTCTATTTTTAGTTGACTTATTTCAGATGCATTCACTTTTTGCCTTTTCCTTATTTACAAAGATCCATACATGCACAAATCCTTTCTTTTATGCATCCCAGTAACTCCATCATGTCCCTAGTTACCCATACTCACTGACCATTGTGCTCATCTCTCAAGGAACGTGAAAGAAACTCACAATACAAAAATGTCAACTAACCAATGATATCAACAAAACAGAACCACACTAGTCCGCAAGTCAGATTTCCAACTCCTAGAGTGTAGTTCAGTAACCATGATGAAGATACAAAACCATGGTAGGTCATTAATGTCCAATGAGGAAAAGCCAAAACTAAACGTAATTGCAGAATGAATAGAATTAATAGGAAAGTATTTTTATTGTCAATTTAAATCATTTCTTTAAATTATAAGTTCCTCTAGCATATCTCAACAAGGTTAACACTAAACAATATTGTACGTAAGAAATGTAAACAAGATATTCCAATTTTAACACACATTCCACATTTCATAGGGTTTCCAAGTCATTCGGATAATCTTCCTTGGCACAAATGTAAGTATCACTATAAAGGATTCTGGAACAAGAGGGAAATTTTTTTAAAAAATCACATACTATTCTGGTGCGAGTCACTTTCTCAGCCTTTAGAAAGCGATCACAATATTGTCGTATTAACTGCATAGAGTCTGTCATCTCATTTCCTCCCTCACCATCACCTGCCATCAATGCTGATTATCACACTAGATGCTCACTAGTGTATTGTCCAATTTCATTCTGAAAATAAGAGAATGTAAAAGAAAGCACCTGGCACAGATGCAAGTCCAGCAGTTGGAAATTCAATTTCCTGTAGCAAATATGTCATTCCAATGTCACATAAATTCATAAGTCTCATGGTCAAAGATGCACTTCCATTGCCCACCATATGTATAGCTACAAACTATTTACCAACAAATGCTTTTGATCCTTGAAAGCCATTTCGGTTGCTGTTTTCACCTGTGGATTGTTATTGGAAGTAAGATTGCTTTCTGTGTATCGATTGCAGACAGGAAGCACTTCAAATAAAGTAACATGAACCAAAAAATGCCACACAAAGCTTTTTACTAGGGTTAACCAGCGGGGCATAGAGCAGTGGTTAATAATATAAATCCTTACTTGCGCTGATTTATCAGATACAAGTAATTTAATTAACTAATTTTTTATTGCTTTCTCTGCCTTTATGAAGTTAATGCACATAATAGTTATTAAATAATCAATTTCAAAGAAAAGGGTATTCATGTGGCTGAGCAGGAGAGGTCCCCCTTATGCATGTGAACATATGTTGCTCAAATTCAAGCAGTTTTTAAATTTCAAAAGATGACCCATATTTCCATGAAATACAAAACACACTCATCTTTTGCTGATTATCAGAAATACCACACTTTTATATAAACACAGGTACATTAAACCGAAAGTCTTCACAGGCCTAACTAGTCATGATCATTTGAGCATGGATATTTCTATTTTCTATATAACTTTTAGAATTTCAACGATGTTCAAACCTTGAAATAACTAAAGCACCCAATGTTGAACCCGACATTTTTCAACATTTCAAAATACCCAACATTTCAATATGTAAGACTTCCATTCTGTGCGAACCCATATTTAGGACCAAATCATGAGTCATCTGAAAATCAGTAGGCGACTAAATACATGAGATGGTTACTTGTTCAATGAGCTCTGTGTAATCCACTGGAAACTGTATATCAAGTTGAACAGGAATATTTGCATCTCCTCTAGAAACTGCATATGTTATTGAATTACAGAATGTAGATAGATCAAATCCAACAGATCTCCTCTGCTGCCCATCAATTTGGGTAACTTTCTGGGCCTTTAATATTGAACTTGAAAACTGCTCACACAGAACATAGAGAAATAAAAGAAATGCACCAAAAATTTCTAATCAAACGTAAACTGAACTTTGTAAGGATAGACATCATGTAAGGTTTAAAAATTTAGCAACTTTAACGGAAAATCAAGGGGTAATGACAACTAACAACTTATTCTTACAAAAATTCAGTAAACAACAAAGACACCTGTAATCACACTCACATTCAATTAGATATCCTTATCAATAACAAGTAACACTGCATGGATCATCAGTTTTATTCCCAAAAAAAATAAAAAGAAAAAATCATATGCACCGCATATAGAAAAATCGTCTCCATCGAAGACAACTGAATACCAATTTCTTTTAAGTCGATCTAGAATGCAGTAATGAGATACACAGGATTAAGACCAACACAATCTTCTGAGCATAATACCAAAGAGAATGTGGTTCTCTCTATTAACAAGCCATCAAGTTATTCGGTCTATGTACATGATCTTGGGTGAATGACTCCAATGATGTCAAAACAGTGTTGACGAGAAGAAATCAAGAAACTACAGGCCCTCCTGGATCCAAATGCAGAATCCTTAGCCTTCAACTAAACTGAGTCCACACCATGTTATAAAAAAATATAAAACATTTATCCTTCAACTAAATTGGGTCCACACAATGTTATAGAAGGATATAAAACATTTATAAACATAGAGTTTCCTTTGAGAAAGATATAGCTGTAAATCCTAGAATTCAATAATACTGCCAATCAACTTTTTTTTTTTTTGTGAATTCATCCTCAAAATAGCACTATCCAAGACTTACTGTACGCAAAAGAAAAAAGAAAAAAAAAACTCTATTATTTAGGATTTTGATCTCCTTTCGATCGAATTCTAAGCTGGTTTACTAACAAATTTTACTGATAATACAAACAGTAATCGTATTGTACAATTTGTTAAGGAAAAACATAATCTTAAATTAAAGTTTTTGTCTTTAAAAAATCTAAGATACTTTTGAGTAAATGAAAGAAAAACACTGAAAAGGAGATGGAAGGATTTCAAGAGAAATAAAATGTAATTCTCTAATCAAATAAATGGTGATGAGAAGTTAGCACTGCCAATAAATTACCCCATTATCGAGCGTGATTACAGTAAAATGCGGCCATCGGAAATCATCAAAGGACGTTAAAAAAAATCATCCAAATATAGAAATCAGAGAGAAATTTTTTAGCGAATGTGACGAGAATAGTTGCTCTAACCCTGAAAGCAGTGAATTGGCTGGCAAGCAACATTTCTTCTGTAATTTGAGTGACTTATCCTTACGAGGAGGAGAGACGCGAAATGCTTATATACGACGCCACTACGAAAGAGACTGTAGAATGAGACCGTTTACTTTTTACATAGGGAAGTAACGACCATTGGTAGCTCTCGGATGTAATAAAAGAGTAACGACCCTACGACACCCGAGTCTACCAACAAAATAAAATAAGATGAGAATGTTTTTCCATTGAATTGAAAAAAACTTGTATTGTTTTTCTCAATGAATATTTTTTTCTTTGACATACAAACTGACCCCAAATAATATACAATCCCATTAAGAAGGTACCCCTTGATCATTTGTGGAAACCGGTAAAAAGTCACCATTTCTTGTACAAATCGCCTTTTTCACAAAAAAAAAAAAAAAAGACAGATGTAATTTCTATAAGGCCTCACCTTTATGAAAAGGAAAAGTGTTTCATGCGGGTTGCACCACAAATATATTATCCGGAAGAAATATGGAAAACACATTACCAATATTTTACTAGTATTTGCTTAAAAATTATCATTTTTTTCTTTTTTATTACAAAGTTCTACTGAAATGTGGAATTAAAATCATCATCATACTATTTCATAAAGACTCTCTAATAATGACATCATCACTATTCTAGAGAGAGAAATGAAGGTATTGATAATCACCCTTCCAAAGATAGAGAGAGTACAAAGTATCGATCTTAAGTATCACCATTTTAAAGAGAGAATGAAAACGTGAAATAAAATTATCATTGTTCAAATAAGATTTACTAATGTTATCATCGATATAAAAATTGATAGAGAAGTTCATTATCATCCACCAAAAAAGAGAGAGATAATGTATGTGTGTGTATTAAAGAGTAAGTATAGCAATTTGATTACAAAAATTTCCAAGTCCAAAAACCATCTCGGTCAAATAAAGAGAGAGAGAGGAACCAAAATAAAAAAGTGTGGATTTCACTCCACTTTACATGTTACCACCTTCTTGAAAATACTTCAAGTTAATCCAAAACACTCGGTCTTCTTCAATCATTTCTAAGAATCACTCACTAATATTTATGTCTGTCATCATTTCATTATATGCTTGCATGAAAACGAGTTGAGTAAGGCCGTGGACCTGAGCTCTGTAAAATTCTCGTATATGTGGGTTTGCTGCTTACTTCCTCAACTCTAAAATTACGGCCTACACTTATTGACTCCACAATATCAACCATGGTTGTTTTGTTTCTTCCTCGATGGCATAACCAATGTTGATTTCTCAAATGGATTGGTGGTCATTCCATTTGTCCTTGATTGGGTATCACCTATTTGCTCAACACCAACATCATCATCTAAGCCTACAATTGTGTCTCAAACATCATCATCAATGTCCCTCTCTAGTTATGCTACCGTCTTGGCACCAGCACCCTCGGCACAATCATTGCCGACAATTATGCTGATTTTATGAAAACTAGAGTAACAATTAACGAACCACTTACCTGCTCAAATGTTATAAGAATTTTTTACCCACCAAACCCTACTTTTACAGGGCATTAAAAAAAATGAAAACCATAAATCTTTTAAGGCAGATTTATGTCATAGAAAAATAGGTAAAACCCTAACTTTTTAACAGAGATAGAGAAATTGCTCTTACTTGGACACGGTAAAAGAGACAGATGCTAACTTCAAATAGGGTAAGAGATTGCTCCAAGAGAGAGAGAAAGGCAGCAGTTTTACTCGAGGTTGCTCTAAGTTTGTTGTTCCGAGAAAGAGAGCATAGAGAAGGGACGCTCGAAGAGGGACGGAGAAGAAAGGTTGAGTTAACAACGAATGGATTTGGGGAAATGGCTCGTAAACGATTAGCCGTCGCCCCCGGTAATTGATTTATTAACTTTCCCACGCGTAATAGTTTTCACGATATATGGGGAAATGATCGTGTAATCTATTTTCATTTCCTTACTCTTTAGGTGTACACAAATATTGAAAATGCTAGATTTCTTTATAATTTGTTACGTTTTAATGGTTTCCAAGTATCCAAACGACCCCCTAATTGTCCAAATATTTTCTCACTAGAATTATTATTTCTAGTTTTTTAAATTATTTATTTTTTCATATTCATGATCACAATATTAGAGATTACATGTCCTTAAAATTTAAGCCTTAAAATCCATCTAAAAAATAGATTTATCAAGAGTCCCCCATTTCTACATATGTGGGCTTGGCCACATAGAAACCCAGTCCTTATGAAAATGAAATAAAGAGTCACCTAGAATCTTCATTCCAAAAGTATTTTGGGCATTTTATGGCTTTAAAATTAAGGATTGTATATAATGAGACCACTTACTTTTGGTACATGGAGTTCACGATTACTTATAACCATCCAATGTGAAATCTAATAGCTTGGGTGTGTCACAAAATTTGAGAAAATTTCTTTTAAACTTTGAGCTTTGTCAATAAAATAAATGCAGCCACTCAATTTGACATCCAGCGGTCAAGATTAATTGTGACTATCTTGTAGCATAAGCAAATTGTCTCTTGATATACTTTCTCTTAAAAATTAATTTATAACAAAGACTATAAAATTCAAAGCTCTAAAAAAGTATAAATCTTGTGGATCCTTGAACACTTATTTTTAAGATGAAATAAATGATTTAGATAATGTGTTACAATATAGTGGTCAAGATTGAGATGATTGATTTCAAGGTTTTTCGACACCAAAATTGTTTTCCTTGATATTATAATCACGAATTAGCGGACTCACCTATAGATCTAGAGCTCCTTTTGAAATTATGTTAACGAAAAACTTTGGAATTTGATAATCTCAATTAGTGGTTCTGTAAAAAAAAAAAATTTTGAGAAATAAAATTTTCCACCGTTCATTTTGAAGTACAATGGAATCACCATGTTTTTGCGTCATCTTAGAGATGGACGTCTGATGCAGGGGACGCACATATTTTATGGAGTCGGCTGACTCACCAAAACTCTGTCCACCATTACCTTGTCTAGGTTTGGATAACGGTTTTCTATATGTTGCGCTCTGAAATTGTTGATTGAGAGAGAGTGTGGAGAGGGACAGTTTCAGTAGGGAGAGAGAGAATTCAATACTGTGGTTAGAGAGAGAGAGAGAGAATGGGTGCCACCGCCACACCCCAACTACTGCATATCTCTCTCTCTTTCAAATCAGCAGTCACAACCTTGGTTCCTGTTACAACTCAAGTGCATTCTTCTCATTCAGTTCCCATGCATTTCAATGTAAATACTCCTAATTCTCATGCACTTTCGTTTTATTCTGGTTTCTTTGATTTTTCTTTAAATTCCAAGTTTTATCTGGTTTTTTTTATATTTCTTTCATTTCCAAGTTTTGTTTTGGCGACTGAGCCCTGTCTTTCTCGTGGTTTCATATGTATGTTGTTCAAAGGTTATTCTTTTTTTTCTTTTTCTTTTTTCATTTTCGTTTGATTTTCTTTTCTATTCCCTGTATTAAGGGGTTCGAGTTCTTTGTATGCACTTCTTTCATTTGTTATATGTTTTATTTGTCTTGGGCGATGATGCCGCATAGGTTCCAAGCCTTTTTTTTTGCCTCTCTGAATGTCTGAGAACTCTGATCATCCGTTTTCCTGTAAATGATCATAAAGCTAGTCATTGATAGAAAAATGCAATGCTGACTGTTGATTTTTTAACAATTAAATAAACAGGGTGGTATTCGTTGTCAGAAATTAAAAATTTTGAATTTTGCAAGTGATCATCAAATTCACAGAAGAGAGGTTCTGAAAGGCTTCGGCATTGCCATTGGCATGGTAAGCAACGCCATTATCTTCTTTTTTCTATTTTATTTTTGAGAAATTTATAAACAGGGCTCTTATAGTACCCAAATTGTGGGTGTTATTCCATTGTCCATACTCCTATTGATGCTTATTTTTTTATCTTCTGCTTCCCTTTTTCTAAATTACATTAAATACATAGAGCATATAACTGCATAATCCATTTAATGTCAGTGTTGTGTGTGGTTGCACATGGGCGTGTGTGTGTGTGTGTGAGAGAGAGAGAGAGAGAGAGAGAGAGAGAGAGAGAGAGAGAGAGAGAGAGAGAGAGAGAGAGAGAGAGAGAGAGAGAGAGAGAGAGAGAGAGAGAGAGAGAGAGAGAGAGAGAGAGAGAGAGAGAGAGAGAGTAAGAGTAGAGTAGAGTAGTAGTAGTAGTAGTAGTAGTAGTAGT